ACACCTCGACTCGATAACTGCAACAAAATCGGGAACAAGTGTTGCAGTTATCGAGTCGAGGTGTCGATTCTTTGTTTACATTTGGCTCGCGTCGACCGCTAAATGTAGGAAAGGACAAAGAGCGAACGTGAGGGGCTATTAAAAATTAAATTTTTAGTAAAGTCGAATGAGTAATGGTCTTTTGGTTCCATATAAAATCGCACCTCAATACACTAGAAAAAACAAACAATATTACTACATAAACAAATGTTGTTCAAATTATGCCGTGTTTGGTCTTATTTTGATCAGGAGAATCTCACAATTACATTGGTAAAAGTAATATTTAGCAAAACCAAAAACTAAAAAAGTTTTACTGTTGCATTAGTGTTGTCACACCGATACGTCTCTGCCGATTGTTTTCTTTCCTCGGACCTCTCTCTCTTCCAGTCTCTGTCCTTTTCTACGTTCGGCGCTCGGCTCGAGCTAAATGTAAACAAAAAATCGACACCTCGACTCGATAACTGCAACGCTTGGGTCCCGATTTTGTTGCAGTTATCCAGTCTTTACTGTAATTAGAAAAATATTTATATAATTTATTTCGAGGAGTTCCTTTATATTACATCGTGTTTCAATCCGAATATAAATTTTAAATGAAAATGAACATTACGAATGAATAGTTCGAATTTGCATAAGCGCAAGAACCGGAAATTATGGTGAAATTCGTTTCGCTTTTAAGGGTAGCTACGGTTCCAACCGATTCCGAACCGTGTTATTAAATTGATATATCGTCTCTTTATGCATGCAATTTTTTTTATGACGAAATAGTCGTAAAAGGCTGTTAAAACAAAATTAATTTTCTATAATAATGTCTAGAAAATGCACACAAAAATATTAGAAGTTAATAGACGTTATAACTGTTCGATTGTTATAGTCGACTTCGGAGATGTAGTCCGATCGTAAATTAAATTGATATAACCTCGACGTAAGCTTGTATTTCTCACTTTAATTTACGATCGTACTATATCTCTTAACCTAAATATACTTTATACGTATCATATGTAATATCCATTCAAACGATGATTATTCCTATATTGTCAAACTATAAATTACTATTTTTGCTATCTCACCTTCACTCAAATCGGTAGATTTGTAAATTAATACATTTCTCATAATAAAACGTAAAAATAGAGCACGCACAATTCACAAGTTTTCGATACACAAGCATCAGTTCTTCCATTTTCATTTTAACGTAGTGTTCCAACTATCGAAAACAAAATAATCTGTAATTACCACAGTTGATCGATATAGCATCACCCATAACATCATCATAAAGGTCTATAAAATTTTACATGCATCTTCTATACCCACAGTTTCTCGTGAATACATTCACTAACCGTATTATTAAACGCATACATTGTCTAGGGACTAGTAAATTAACGTTTTATGAGTAGCATACATAATAAATAAAGATTATACACACTTGTACTGTATACATTTACCGAATCAACATTTCAGCTGTGGCATACATAATAAATAAAAAAATTGCATCAAGGGTTAGACGCGGCTCCGTCTTACACCTCGCTGTCGAAGCTGTCACTTCACAGAAAAGGTTAAGTATGGGTAAACACGTGTGATTCGCAGGCGACTCCGCTAAACCTCGTCATTTCCGAGCGTTGCTTTGGCAAAGCAGCCGGAACATCGCCTCAACCCGCTTCTACCCGCCTTTGCTCGCCACGATGTTTCGTCTGGCAAAACCAAGGACCGGTTTTTATAACCTTTGGAACACACGTTCGATGTTGGCTCGCTTCGTCTCGCCTCACCTCGCCACGCCTCGCCTAGCTTCGTCTAACCTAACCTCGCTTCCAACTCCCAGCTGCGCCAACGAAATTCGTGAAATATTCTACCGCGTTACATTAACGTACCGATTCTCGGCCCAAAATTATCACTTAACCCCCGGCTACTAGGGCAAGACGAAAATTACCGCTCTATGTTACTTATATTTCGCCGGTTTCCGTTCGAGCAAACTTCTACCTGTAACCTTTCTACTTCGCTACGTTCGGACGCGACGTAGGATGCCTTTAGATAAGTACACATGCTATTTACGAAAACTTTGTACTAAAATCGACTGAAAGATATATACACAAGTAATCGTAAATCTTTAAAAATTAAAGGTAGCAAGTAGGATTTAAAATGAGAAACAATTTTAGACAATTGAGACAATTTTAGTTCGTAACACTGTTGGAAATATTTATCAAAGAATGCGCATTACGCTTTCGATGATTCTGACAATTTTAATCAATAACCTAAAAAAATTACTATGACGCTGTTTTATATAAACGGTATCTTTGCCGTATGCATATTATATCATAAAATAGTCTAGTATAATAGAAAAAATAAATTCAATGCCTAACAAGTCTTTCAACTTCTATTTTTGAATAACTTCTATAATACCATAACATTTTCAAGCTTGCCCCTAATATGAAGCTCCCAAGCATCAGTATTTACCATAACCTCATGTTTCAAACTCTGAAATTGTGTCGTATGTCATTACCCAAGTAATAATTTTATTCATATTAAATTGCAAAAGCTTTAAACGTATATTACTCTCCCATTTCGTAGAGTTGTTTCGGTTTCGCAAAATTATTACTTTTGGTGCGCTTTATAATTGTACGAAGTTTGAATAAATTCGGAATTTCGAAAGCCACGAAGTCTCCTTGGAAGGTGGACTAGGTCCTCTAATTTCACTGGAACTGTCAAGTGTCTAGTGTTGCTTAATTCAAATGTAATTTGAATATAGTTATTCTGCGCAAAGTGCTTAAAACCTTTAACTACGGAGGTGGATTTTTCGTACTGTAACATCCGACGTGGAGCTTTAGTGGTCGCCATGTTCAGGTGATCACCGTGAAAAATTAATTAGATATACTTTTATTCGCTATTTAAGTAGATTCTGATGAAATAAGGTTTATAAATGAAAATTGAATTAATGAAACAATTAACTTTTAAATTAAATCGTGCGTCGATAAATTTCATTATGGCGGACATGCAATGGAAATTGAAAAACGAGAAAAATGAATAAATATCACAGTTGGATGATATCTTATTGCAAATAAATAATTTTACAAAAGAAATTATTCTATTTATATTTATATATTAACTGAATAATTAATGATAATTAGTTAACTTACGTTTATGTATGATTTAATAATAAATACACTTATAGATGTAGATTAAAGTAAAAAAGTTAATAAGAAAAAAAAGGTTTTACGAAAACCAAGTTCTACAACTAAAGGGATTTCCAAGCGAACATACTTATGCTTTCAGTGTTGCCAATGTTTATTAACAAACTGCTCGTACCTTTTACGTCAAATATTTATTGACAGTACATTCACTTTCGAAGTGGTATTTGACAACGCACAATTAAAACAGTATCTGTGTAATCATTATATTCCTTATCAACATTTTGACAATGTTAATAATATTTTGGTTGTTATTAATCAAGTTGATCAATATTTTAAAAATAAGCGAAACAAGAATTGAAAACTCAAGCACTGTGCGTGGCCGATTTTTCGGTCGCATTCCGAATACCAGTAGGGAACTATAGTTTGAGTGCGTAGAACGACGGAAATATTTATCGACTTTAATAAAACCAGAATTGGAAGTACCTACATCTCAGTCTTATCATTTCAAAATTATGAGAGTAAATTACAAGATTCCAAAATTTCTAATATTTTAATTCTAATATTTTAATATTCTAACATTTTTAAATTACTAAGATTCAAATTTTGGAAATTTTGAAAAATTGAGAATTTAAAAATCATAAAATTTGAAAGTATCAAAATTCTAAAAATTCAACGTCTCAAAATTTCAGAACTTAACATTTTAAATACTCAAAATTTCGAAGGCTCAAAATCACAAAATTTCAAAGGTTTAAAATCTCAAAATTTCAGTCTCAAAATCTCAAAATTTCGAAGTTTCAAATTTCTAAAGTTTAAAATTATAATTTGAATCTCTTAAAATGATAAAGTCCGAAAAGTCTCAAAGTTCCATTTTTTAAAAATTAAAAAATTTCAAAACAACCAAATTTTCAAAATTCAAAAATTTTTAAGTCTCAAGTCCAAAAATCCCAAAATGTCAAAATCTAGAGTCATCATCTCAACATTGCAAAATACCATATTACTAAAAATCAAAAATTTCAAAAACCCAAAATCCTAAGCTGGTAAAATCCCAAAATCCAAAACATAAATCAACAAATTCCGAAATTTCCAAGTATAATAATGAATATAACAGAAAAGGAGGAAGTCAACGACTTCAATAAAAAGAGAAATAAAAATGAATGATTAATGGTGTAATCCATAACTATTTAGATTATGTATCGAAATATCAGATGTACATTTACTCGCGAAGGTATTCACTGTTACGTTTTAAATTTTAGATGTGTAAAATTACATAATAGAGAAATTATTGATAGCATGTGCTGATGCAGAAACATATAAATATAGCTAAAATGAAATAGTACATATTTGATTTGCAAACGTTTTGTTACGCAACATAACCATTGGCGTAACTATGTAAGTAATATGTAAAATGTAATCATTTTCCTAACAGAAATATTGAAATAAGTGAAAGAACATTCGTCAGTTAATAGAAATTAATATTTGAGCGTAAATGCATACTGCAACTGAGTTATACTTATGTTTTAATAAAGTAAAGAGAAAGAGAATTACAAAAAAAAATTTAAATTATGCCAATAATCGTAACTAGCGAAGAAATTCAAAATATGGCATTATGTTTTAAATCCAACAGCATAAATATTGAATATAACATAATTAATATCCCGGCGCACTTTAATCTAAGATGGTATTTCACGGAAAATTATAAATTTATTTGGATCGTTAATCTGAAATACCTATCTAATTTTTGTCGCACATGCATATTTTCTTTAAAGTATGTATCTTTTTATTACATGCGTAATTATTGTATCGTATAATTTGTCGAACGACTCGAATACTTTCGTAAATGATCATACGATTTCCGGTTTAAACGATAGCAATTTTCAACGCCGCGCGTTCAACAATTACTTCAGGAAACTGCGATCGTTTAACGCTTGAAAAACTGCCTAAATCGATTGGAATAAGCAACGGAATGCGTAATCTGTAGTTTAAACGACGTTCGTTTGCCTATAACGCAAAATATTTCGATCCTCTGGTTGGCACCGTCGCTTCCCAGCGACGCCAGTTTCCGTCGTATAAAAGAGCCGAATACTCTCTGTTATGTGTTCTTTATTAGATACGGGAAATGGAGAAAAGGATATAAATTGTCACGTAAGCACGATTTATTACCCAATTTAACGCTTTTTATTTGCACAATTTTAAGAATAGGCGAGTTTTTGAAATGAAAAACTTTTATAACATAATTCAATTCATAATCCCACAAGTGTAATATTCTGAAATGATAAAAATATTACAAAAAATACTGCTAAATACAATATACCCATGGTGATACATTTAAATACAAAATTGTGCGATAGATCATTTACAAAGATTATACATTATTTAACAAAAGTAATTGCATTTACGTTGTAAACATTAGTGATTGTAACTGATTAAAAGAAGCAATATCTTTTTATTTTGAATGTTTGTGTTCTAAGCTACTATTGTATCTTGCATAAATGATGAAAGTTAAAAGGTATTATAAAATAAGTTACACAGTAGCTAATATTTTACATGCAACGTTCAATTTTCAGAATAGTTTTATTTATTAAATCTGTATTTTATGTGCAGAAGCGTGAGAACTTATAGATATTGTAGAATAAAATAAAAATTTAATTAAAGCATTTGTTTTAAAGATGGGATCCCATTGTTTAACAGTGGAATACCGTAGAAACAACAAAAATAGTTTTAAAGTATGCGTAATCATTGTTACGCTTGATAAACTGATTACAATTGTGTGTATCAGTGATTGACACATGACTATTACAACCTTGATCAGTTATAATTTTTCATTTTCAAACATATCTTACAAAACTATAATTTTTAATTTTGTATATAGTATTTAGTTGTAGATAAAATATAATGATGTATGATCATTATGAAATATAATTCACATATATGTAAAAATGTAATGTGTAGTAATATGATGCATATGTAATGATGTTTAGTATAGACATTATATTTAAAAGCAATACTAATAAAAAAGTAGTACAGTTTTAATAAATCCAAGGACATAAGAATATAAATTTCAGGTAGTTTGCATTGTTTGAATTTAAACGCGAACGTTCGAGCTGTTCGTTAATTCCGGTTTGTAGAAACGCTACGGTTGCCTCGGTACGTGTTCATAAAAGATGGGCAATAGAATGCATTTAGGAAAAGGGTCAGTCGGGACTAAACCGTGTAAGAGAAAGTTTGAGAAAACTGACCTGCGAGGTGCGCGGATTCTACGAAACGAGAACTTAGAACACTGTGTTACTACACAGAATACGTTTATGTTGTTGTTTGAACGTTAATTTTTCATATTAAGACAGTTCTAATTCCAATTCTCTTATCATCGAATCAATTTCTACGCGTGGCTGCGTATTTTTACATATTTGTACTTACATAATTTCTACATAATACATGTTATCCATGTATTTAATTTTGCTATGTTGCTATCTGCTCTGAAATTCTTTTCAAGCTTTTATTATCATAAAAATACCTCCATATTTAACAGTAATTACCAGATATAAAGGAAATAGATAGAGAATATCATTTACATTGAGTTACGTTCATTAAATAAGTAACCCATACAAAGGAACTTAAGAAGATAATGAGAAAATTAAAATTCTCACAGTCTTGTTGCTTGAAACATAAAAATAGATGTAAAATACTGAATTATATCATGAATTACATTCTTCATTTTGAACATACAGTTTTATGTTTTGTAATTACGAGTTAAACAGATTGTATGTACAAAGTAGATGCAGTTTTGATAGTCCAATAAAAAATGATTCAACTAAAAATGAAAAATTTATTGAATTTATTGAGAAAACCTATGGAAGCATGTTTCTTTCTTAAAAGAATTGTCTTCTGTTTTTTAAATAATATTGTTTTCTTTTTCAGGAATTTAAAGTATATGATAGAACCTACTCAGTAGTACTATAACAACAACATTCATTTCTGAAATAAAATGTATAGTCATTGCTGAATAGAAAAGAAATATCTTGAACATTTGTTCCCCTTCCTAATTCATAAATTTGTATCTTTTAATTCAAAAATCAAGTTGAACTTAAATTACTTTGATTAGTATGATAATTTTTGATTGAACACAAAAGTGCACATTGAAAATTCATGTAAACTATTATTATTGTAAATACTATATTTCAGAAACAATTTTATAAATAATAGGTCAGATATAAATCTAAGGATGTATTACATACATCCAGCAGTTACAAATATAATTCAAAATTTGATATAACGATAAACTTTTTTAATTTCCATAATCAATGCTATTTTATATGTACATAAAATAACAGTCCTTATAAATTTTTAACTTCTTATGCATACAACCTTTTGAATTTACATAGTAAATTCCTTTTATTAATATAAGTACTACTTTCGTTTACAACATAATCATTTTCATAACTTTTCTGTTAGATAAATATTAAAACATGTAAAACAAGGACTAAATATTGATTTTTAAATAAAATAGCACACAAATTTATGTTTGGAGAAAAGGATTATATTTATTAAAATAAGTTCCACTACAGTTACTGTACAGTGGAATATTTGTCAGAAAAAATATAATACGTTCGCTGAAAAAAATAATATAGTAAGCCTTCTCAGAAGTTATTATCTATAATCGGTATATCTCATCGAATAACTACGGCCGCCGTATTTTTCTTGTTGAAGAAAACTCTACATAACTCAACCTATTCATATACTTGGAACGGTAGAACCATTTCAGCCCGTAGTTATTCAAATTTTGTTTTAAAACATTAATAATTGTATTTGTGAGAACTATTCAACGACTAATTTAAAATTTTGAATTACGAATGTCCTATTGTAGGTGGAGCTCGTAGTATTTATTCTTCCCGCCGGGGGCCCCCCATAAGCAAAATGCGCCATTGTTTATTACAATGAATTTTGGAACGTGTCCGTTACAAATGCAAATGAAGAGAAAGAAAGGAAAAGTAAGTCACGTTTTAGCCTGAGGCTACTAATGAATTCGTCGTTATTATCTTAAAGCAGTTAGAGTTACGTTAGATGTGTATTTTCAGATGGGTACTTAAAACGAAGACTTCCAAGAAGGTTAGTATTGCGAATAATTCATGGAGGCGAGTGTAAGGAGTACAGTCAGAAAATAGTGAATAAATCGTAATAATGTGTCACCTATTACTTTTATTTGTATTTTATGCAGGGAAATTGAACTGCTCCATGATATTAATACACAGGCTGTACCTACTGCAGGGTTGATCAGTGACAAGAAAAAATATTAGAAAAATAATGCAACACAGGTAATTATTTTTCCATCAGACTTGAGCGCAATTTAAACAGAATAAAAAGTAATTTAAAATAATTAGTTATTTTAACTAATTTACTATTTCTATTTTAGAAGTGACATAAAGAAAGTAATTTTATTTTGTATGAAACTTAAATAATTTTTTATTTAAGTCGTACCATTTGCATAAAATAACAGGTAATCTAATATAAGATGTATTGAGGATATCTGTTATTTTGTTTGAATTTATATACTTTTATGTGATGACTAACATAAATGTACATAGCATACTCATACATTTACCCTTGAGTATTATATGTATGTGTTTATGTGTAAGAGATACTGTAACGAGATCAGTGTATCTGATACAATGACAATAAAAAAATACCAGAAATAGCTGCTACAAAGTATTTAAAATATAAATAAATGTTTATTCAAGTATAAAATAAAAGATTATTTCTTTCTAATCTAAATGCAACTATTTCAAATAATATCTGGTTGAGTAAGATAATATGTTATTCAAATACATTTGATCGTGCCCAAGACTATCCCTCATATCAAATTAAACAGTTTCAGCATAAGAATTTTGTTTTGTTTGCAAAAATTCAGCCTTGTATGAAAAATTAAGTTTTGCATATTTGCAGATAAAAATTAACATTTATCGCTTTGAATTCCTACATCATGTTTACTTCAACATCAGTATGCACAAAATAATGTCCTATTAATATCTCATAAATGATTATTTGATATTTCTGTCAGTAAAAAGAGATATTAAAATACAGGCAAGCAAACAAATGAAAAAATAGAGTTCAAAGAATTAATATTTTGTGAAGTATTCATTTCCTCTTTTATTGTGGCGACTATTCATTTCAGTAATAATTTAAGAATTCTGTTTCCAGACATTTTTAATAGAGGTTTATTTAATTTTCTCCATTGCAGCTATTATTAAAAAAAGTATAACCTCTCTTATTTTTTTTGTACATTAGAAGTGTTGATGTTTCAGTGCTTTCTGTTAGTATTTAGAGATCAATATTTTGAATGTAAAGATTGAAATACAGGCAAAAAAAGGATGACTTTTATTTTTTAGTACTTTTTCAGTTTTACTCATTTTTAATAGACAATCTCAATTTTCATAGATATAAAAATTATTCCAACCACACAATAATTGTCGACAATTTTCATACTAGAGACTTTTATTCAATTCAACAGTTTAGTATTCAGTTTAATATCCAATTCAGTATTTAACTTCAGTATATTTCATAATTAATACCAACTGTGTAGAAATATAAAACAAAAGTTCAGAACCCTTCCAAGGCTAGTTAGATCAGCATTTGAAGCATAAAGGGTGAATAAGTTGATTTTGTTTTATTGGAAAAGTACTTTTGTTGCATCACCCCTACATTGTACGATCTTTTTTGTCCGGGAGTGCACGTGACAATGTACGATCAAGTTGTGTGACACTCTTCTGTTTATCGGTAAAACGCACGGCACGCATACTAAATGATTCTGTTGCTTTTCGAAGACGTTCAAATTGTGATACGATAAAATACTATTAACCTCAAAACAAACGTACCAAACAAATGATATGAATGATAGTGTACGAAAGAAATACTTTTGTAAACAAACATAGTTTGAAGTTCAGCACGTTATATAATCGTGGCGTCTTATTCTATTTTAACGTCATATCAAAACACGTTGATTAATATTGATAGTGAATGAAGAAAATACACGCCTTTTTAAAATACGGAGCGGAGAAAATAAAGGTTAGAAAACAAGATTGTTATTGAAGAACAAAATAAATGTTCAATGTTCTATACATGTGTAAATTTTATATTGAATTAAGGTTATAATTTTCGGAAAAAATTGCTTTTTCAGTTTAGTAAATGATTTCAGTGAAATTTTTGCAAATGAAGAAGTTACACGAATTTTGTGTAAAAAGGTTGAAATCATTTCTAACCTAAAAAATAAAAATTTGTATGAAAATGAGAGATACAAAATACGAAAAATATTCGTAGTATGTATTATAAAATTTTGAAGTGAAATACATAGTATATTGAATTTTACACAAAAATGGCGGCCATTTTTCAATTATAAAGAAAATCTTTCTTGATATAAAACTAGAAATGCAAAATACATCAAATTTGGCGGTAATGAAAAACTTTAAAAGAATTTTAATCATTTTTATTTTAAAAAGATGAGAGATTATTTGAGAAGGAAATCTTTTTAGAAATAAGTGATGCAAAGTACCAAACTTTCAGTAATAATTCAAATGTTTACATAATTTGGATTGTATAAAGCAATTACATCAATTTTTTATTGGAAGAAGTGAAAATTATTTGTGAATCCAGAATCAGAATTTAAAAAAAAAAAAAAAAAAAAAAAAAAAAAAAAAAAAAAAAAAAAAAAAAAAAAAAAAAAAAAAAAAAAAAAAAAAAAAAAAAAAAAAAAAAAAAAAAAAAAAAAAAAAAAAAAAAAAAAAAAAAAAAAAAAAAAAAAAAAAAAAAAAAAAAAAAAAAAAAAAAAAAAAAAAAAAAAAAAAAAAAAAAAAAAAAAAAAAAAAAAAAAAAAAAAAAAAAAAAAAAAAAAAAAAAAAAAAAAAAAAAAAAAAAAAAAAAAAAAAAAAAAAAAAAAAAAAAAAAAAAAAAAAAAAAAAAAAAAAAAAAAAAAAAAAAAAAAAAAAAAAAAAAAAAAAAAAAAAAAAAAAAAAAAAAAAAAAAAAAAAAAAAAAAAAAAAAAAAAAAAAAAAAAAAAAAAAAAAAAAAAAAAAAAAAAAAAAAAAAAAAAAAAAAAATGAAAAAGATCGAGAAATGAGATGTGCATAATATATTATAGTGTATATGCATTTCACATAGAAAAAAGAGGAAATTCCTAACCTAAACAGAAAATTTTTCTCGAAAGAAGAATGCGAAGTATCAGAAACTTTCATAGCGTTCAAGATCTAAAAATACTTTTAATTGTTGAAACCCGTAGAATACAAAGAAATATATAACAAAAGTGAAGATAATTTCCTAGTCTGAGATAGAAAATCTTTTTTCAAATAAGAGATGTAAGATGTACAAAGTTTCTGCAGTAATTTAAAGATTTAATATTTGATAAAGTGAATCGCACATTTGAATTTAAAATCGCATTGTACACAATTTCCACTACTATTTTCTGAAGCAGTTAATCCAGATACCTGCGTGTTTGGCACCGTAACGAAATATGGCAAGAGTAACTGTTTCAAATTAAGACAATGCCTTTTGTACAGTTCTGTACATACCCGCGACGGGTCGACGATCAAGAATACTGTTGATTGCTAGTTAAAGTTTATTACTCCGAATATACCAAATTTCGGTTACGCTATATATTTTTGTAGTCAAAAACGAAAAAACCAGAATGCTTCACCGATTTATTGAAAAGTATCATAATTTAGTAAATAGTAGAAGAACCTATCAGTATTAAATCTTTGAGAACTAACAACAAATCACAAAAATCCTACATTTCAGTTACTTTTTTATAATTTAACAAGTGTGTTTGTAATTCTCATAAAAGACTTATTTTTATTTTATTAACGTTTTTTATGTATTTATGGTTTAGAATTAACTCGGAATTTTTCAATATTCTGAATAATATCTTGGTTCTAAACGGCTCGACCGCAAAAGATTGAAAAAGACCGCCAATTTCAAATTGCATAACAAAACGATAAGGTGAATGAACTGTTTAAGAATCTGTACGCGGTAATACATTACGAAAAGGCGCGAAATTACGATAACGCGGCAGCGAATATTATAATTTAAAATAAGCACGAATATTCAAAGTGTTTCAAAGACTCACGATAATATTAATTGTTTGGGACGTTGAATCGCGTTACTAGACAGTGTCGAACGTTCTCGACATTACGAATCACAAACGTAAATATGTTTTTGTGCATTGAAACGCCAAGCAAAAACGGACGCACGTCAGGACACGATTATGCTAAAATTTGTAGTTTCAAGTTGGTTACACTGAAAACATATTTGGATGACCAGTATTTTTGTACCTCGGTTTTTTCACTATTTTTTAGACAAAGCTTTATTAAGAATCCCAGCGAATGGGAGAATGGAGTGAGAAGATGAAAGGTTTTCTTTAAGAAAGGAAAACGGAGTAATATAATGCTAGAATACTACAATGAAATATTACGCTTTGCTTCAATTAAGCGAAACGCATTACTTAAGCAAATTCTGAGATTTTGTAATCGTGGAACATTTCTTTGCGTTACGAATGATATTAAAGGAAACAATCCATCAAATTTTTCTTTAAACAAAAACTTAAATACAGATTGAAAAGGAATGATTTAAATAACTTTTGGATTAAATTAACCTGTAGGAAGGTTTGTAATTTGTGTTATGTTTTTGTGTAAACTGCAGTGGACGCTGAAAGCAGTTCGACGATAGCGGAACAAAGAAACAAAAGAAAATGTATCTGTCAAAAAATTCTAAACTGCAAGTAGACACAAAGTGTAAAATTTCGTTTCGTTTTCTGAAACTATAAGTTCCGTGTTAAAGTTTATTGACCGTAAGGTCTGTTATTTCTGTTAAAAATTGTGCAAATTCAAAGGTAGGTACAATTCTTCTTACTGTTTAATATTGTATATTAAATTGTTACACATTTGTTACAAATGTTATAATATTTTGTTAATTGATGTAGCTTAGAATAAAAATTGTACGATAAAATTTTGAATAAATAAAACTTGCGATTGTTGATAGTATTTTCATTATGCCTCAACAAAAACGTGGTTATAAATGAAGTTAAGGAAAAAAAGACCCCAGAGACTCTTAAGAACCCAAGTTGAAGAAGAATGTCTGGTTTCTTCTTGAAGAACGAATGTTTTCACCTCCGTATGTTAAGGGTTAACTTAAAGTACCGCCAAAGTACTCTTTTAAGTACTTGCCAAAAGTATATTTTTGGCAAAGGTACGGATTGTTTCAGGTTGCCTCTTCACATTTTTGTAATTTTGTCAAATTTTCAATAAAAGAACTTTCTCCAAAATATATATTTTGTAATCACAAAAAACCCAACCCAATAGTTCCTTTAACAAAATTTTAAAGAATTCTATTGTGTAGTAAATATATTTCTTTAAGTACGTTTTCCCTGTTTTCTTTAACTTTCGTCATTATTTAAAAAAAAATAGGGACACGAAAGTTTGCATGTATGTTGAAAAGACATTTCCGTATGAACCTCAACTATTCACTTGCAATTTATTTGTATTTTTATATGGAACACTAAAAATTGCAATAAATAAATTATCTTTTTATAGATCGTCTGCATTCTGACAATTATTGTCTCAACGTGTGAAGTTTTAAAATAAACTAAACTTTAACAAATTATAAGTCACTCATAGTTTCCTATTTCAAGTTAACGGCCCAGTAGGAGGATAAAATTCGGAGAAATAAGGATAGGACGCTCAAAACCATAACAAAATGAAACTTAAAGAAAGTTTCTACTATATTAAAATATTTGTTGAAACTTGAAGAAAATATAGACATTTATGTACTACGATAAAATATGGTTATGTACTACAATAAAGTATGGTTATGAACTACAATAAAGTGTTGCTGTTTATTTCTGTTAGAAATAGATTTTTATGTACTTAAGCGAAATATGGTTGTTTATGTACTTTAGTAAGTTTATGTACTGCGACATAATATGTATCTATGTGTTACAATATAGTGTGGATGTTTGTATACTTCAATAAAGCATGAAAGCTTTAACAGCAAAAAGTTTCTGTTTATTTGAAAAAATTCCCAGTTTTAAACTAGGAAACTCCCTTACATCAAATACGCATCAAGTATAACATCTTAGATCCATAACGGAAGACCTATCGTGAATTAAAAATATTTACCTGCGATTAAGCAGAACTCCACTGTGACGACTATGCGAACCCAAAGTGAAGATAAGTTTCGATCATCCTGGAGAGAAATCCCCAAGCGAGAATATCCGTTCACACAATCATATTCCTATCCGTCGGACAGAGTTACTGCACACCACCCTGATCACTTATCCACTGTGTAACGTCGAATTTCACTTCGAAGCACACACCCAGGCGATAACACGTTAAAATTGGTGAACAGAGTGCGTGGAACGTTGAGTATTCACTCCACTCATGGCTTCCCTCGGGCACTGAACCGTCACCAACGAAACAATAAGAAAAAAATGTTCAAGAGTCTCGATTCGTTCGGAGAAATCGAGTACAGAACGTAATCAACGATAGATTCCGTTTATCATGATTGCCTTCTCTCGAAGGAAGGTGCTAGAATCAAGCTACATTTTCGACCAGTGTCTCCAAAGATTCGACGAAATACAATTTCTACAGTCTCCTGGAGTATTTGTATAGTAGCGAACGAGCGTTCATCTCGATGTTGAAGACTTTTCTCGAATACGGGAATAATCGGCGATCCCGTACACAGGCGATGTATAGAAAATCGATCAAGGGATGAAATTCGAGAGAAATGACGGCCGGAACAGAGTCAAAAATGGAGTACGTGACTCGGACGCTTCCGATATATTCCCTTTAATGCGGGTGCCGGCCGGCTTAAAGCTGCGATGCAACAAACGAGAACGTTCGTAACCGGCCAGATAACTGGAAAATTTTCCGAACACGTATCGCACGGTTCACTTTTTACGTGCAAAGCACAGAATCACTTTTCGAAACGTTTAATCCACTCTTTTTATGGGAAAGTTCGCGTTGTAGCGTTTGCACTGGAGTTATCACTGAACAATGTTTCTGCGCGAATTAAACGAGAAACGGCTCGTTTAAAGATATCGCGTGTACCGTTGAAATTCAATCGACGAGCAAATAATTTTTACTTCCGGTAAAAAGAGATACACCCGTAACACGGCACATTATAGCATGCTCACCATCGAACGGTTGAATTGTGACTGCGGCTGACGGGGTTCGATGAAGTCACCCCCACTACTGCCGGACCGGTTCGCAGGGGGACGCCCAACTGGGACGTGGACGCTCCGCAGGCCACGCCTACTGTCACGCCCCCACACCCCGTTCGTAACTCCCTCCGTCGCAACTCCCACGAAACCTATCGTGAAACTTGAATCTTTTCCCGCGTTTTCTTCGGGTGTAACGTACTCGGAGGGGGGACAGATTAAACTTAACACTTCGTGGAACGTGTCGTGCATTCAGGATTTTGACGTTTAACTTTTCATACCGTTGTTCTTTGTTTACTTTATCGAATATTTATAATTGGGGGTTTTCGCGGAATAACTTCTGTATGGATTATATGTTATACTGAGGTGAGGGCAATGTTTGAAATAAAAAACGTTTTCGGAAACTTTATGCTTCTACGTAGAGAATTGCAGTAATCACACTGGAGATTATAGTACTTTTCAATGTTATTTTAACGAGCTAGTGGCAATTGTATGGTGATTATATTCAGGTGTAATTATCGTTACAGTTGTTTCTACCTACATATTATGGTTTATAGTAGGAGCTTGCCTGTTTATTATGCTGTATAATAGGTATGTACCTATTTATGCTCTTTAATAGGTATTTGTCTAACAAGTTCACGTAAGTTATAAAAATCTTAGTTTAGTTCTATACCGTAATTAAGACGAAGGTTACTTGTATCGACACTTTTGTAACTACTCAATAAATCATGGTGAATGTTAAGAAATCGATTTTATAACCTTCCATCGAGCCGCTAAAGCCACGTGTTTTCTTGAGAAACATTCGATGCTTTTATGGCCGCGTGAGATGACAAATGATGGTACGGTATTACGCAAGTGACATATTAGTCACAAAACTTGGATGTACGCTGGAAAAACAAGAAAGAATCCGAAGATAATAATGAGGAAGGACAAAAACCGTCGAAAGAAGAAATCCGGAAATAGAAAGCGACAAATTCTGAAAGTACGAATATTTCTTCTATTACGACTTCTTCTGTATTGCGTCTTTTATCCAATATGTAAATTCTATTATTATGGTAAAAAGAAACCGATTGTTACGACTGAATTAAATGCATCTATTTTGAAAATTAGTTGTTATAATCTTTATTATAGCCATGAGTATATGATTATATAAAATGGCTGAAGATTGTATTTAATTTGAGCAAAAACAGATTTCGTGGACAATTTGTATTCATTGCACTACGAAGATTATTTATTACTATTGTCTCGAATAATTTGAAATATGATCTATTGTCGCGAATTACGAACGAGAAGTTTTTAATGGGAATACTGTAATAAGGGTAGTTCATCCTTAAAAGATGTCGTTAGCAGTGTAAATATCGTCCAGCTCAGGTCATGCTCATTTGTATGTGTAGAACGAGACCTCAAAAGTGTAACTCATTTTTTAATCATTTTTAATATTTTGATGACATTCTTCAATGAAAGTAACTTCTTGTAAAATGTAAAAAGACAAAAGACCCATTTTTTGGGTTACGAACACAGAGTCGACGTCCATAGATCTAAACAGTAATACAATTAAGAGTTAACTTTTCAGAGTTGGTAGGTTAAAAACTGTCCCACCTTTTGCTTAGCCTTTTGTACCTGGTATTGTATAGTTTAACTCATCCTGAAAAGTTGACATTGTTAATGACATTGTTATGCTAAATAATTGAAATGAACATTTTATCATTTGTTTACATTAAAAAAAAATGTTGTGCAACCTGGGTTTTATTTTATTTAAAATCGTGTCTCAAAAAGTCAATCAAAATCTATTTTTTTTTATTACTATGTAAATACTTCCCTCTACGTACATATATCAGATACCGCAAATAATTGTAACATTATGCGTCCAATGTGAAGAGATTAAAACAGACCTATTAATAAGTAAGTACCGTTGGCAGCTGAAAGTTGGCATTTAGGCAACAGAGCTAAGCTGTTTTGGTTGCCCTTCCTCGAATTTAATACACTTTATGTCTACCCTGGTGTATTGTTTTACCTACTCAGAAAATGTGTATGCATCGTTTTCATGCGTTTAAAGACATTAATTTTTTGTATAAGATTTGATCAGAAGCAGCTGCCATCTTTTCAGCTCCCAATTCTTCAGATTGTATGGCATATTAATCAGTAGAACGATACAATTTTTATTAGTTCTACTTTATTTACTTATTTTTATTAGTACGATTACCTATATTAAAAGTATTATGTGTACTTTAAATTTGAACATTAAACTGTAAGAATCGTAAATATCTGTAACTGTTTAATAATAAATATAGTTAATCGTGTGTTTATATGTCTTTATCCTTTTTTCCTGTACTTTACAACGTTTCAAAATTAATTACGACAATATTACAATACATCGAGTGATATTAAATTGGTACATTAGAAATATAAGGTAATGTATTTTTATGTCAATTATTCTAATAGGATAGAATGTCCCAAAACGAAACAAGTGTTACACATGAAATATCACGATATTACAGAATCCTTACTTTTTTACCTATTACTGACGAAAACAATCGATTATCTTTATTTCTATTTCAAATAGTGAACACGTGAGAACATTGTGAGAAAGTAAAAATATGTTAAAATTATTACAAAACAGAAAATATTAAATATTCTTTTGTTAGGGAAAGAATATTAAAAAAACGCTCATAATCCAAGTTTCTGTATTGAAATTCTTAAATTGCTATTATGCATAACGAGTTACATCAGCTTAATTTCTGTTGTCAGTGATTATCTTTCAAATATGACCGAAAATATTAATTTGATAAAATGATTTTGTTGATAATAAACATTGTGAGGAGCTTAAAGTGAAATTTCATATTAGAGATCGTGTATGCCTAATTTTATTATGACTACATTAAATATGTTCTACCTTGTCTGCGGCATAAGCTATATTAATAATAATAACAGGAAATTAGGATATAGGAGAACGTCTGTTTGCTGTTTCTAAAAACAGAACGGAACAGTAAATATAGGAACATACAAGTTAGAATTGAATTAGCGTAATATTATTGTACAGCAAGCTTTTGCCGATTAAATAGAAATATTAAATAATTTTTACTGATATTTGGTAGATTAAGCATGATCATCGTTGCAGATATGTATAAGTTCGAGATTTGAAAATTTGAGAATTTAGGAATGTAAAAACTTCCGAATTTGGAAATCTTAAAATTTAGAAATTTAAAAAGTTGCAAATCTTGAAAATTAGAAATTCAGAAATTAAAAAATTTATGGATTTGGAAATATGAAAATTCGAAAATTAAAGAATTTTTGAAATGTAGAAATTTGAAAATTTAAGAATGTGAAAGTGTAGGAATATGAAATTGTAACGGATTTGGAAATGTGGAAATTTGAAAATTTAAGATTTGGAATATCTGGAAATTTGCAAATCATTTAGAACTTTTGAATGTTTAAGGAGTTTGGAGATTTGAATGTTTGAATATTAGTGAATGTTAGAAATCTTAGAGTTTGTCAGTTTTCAAATCTGAGATTTTAATGGTAGCCAAAAGTTGATACCGAGCATCCACTTAATCATGCTTGTAAGGTGAAGTGAGGTAAGTTTGTAAACGGGACAAATGTGTATACAGGCTATTTTTATTACAATATGAGCGAAATTTCTCCATTTAGTATGTTTGTTTCCTTGTTTTGTTTCACTATATCCCCATTTATATTTCAACTAAGAGTACTTGTTTGCAGTATAGAGTACTTGCATAATGCAGTAACAAGCATTTTATAGCAGATTTGTTAATAATTCTGCTCTTGCCCAATTACACATGAAATAAAGTTTCAAAGTATTTTAACTTCAAGTTACGCTCTTACCCCGTTTTCGGGGAAAGTGCAGAGTAGTTGACATTTTAAACAATTTTCTACCTTGTCTGCGGCATAAGCTATATTAATAATAATAACAGGAAATTAGGATATAGGAGAACGTCTGTTTGCTGTTTCTAAAAACAGAACGGAACAGTAAATATAGGAACATACAAGTTAGAATTGAATTAGCGTAATATTATTGTACAGCAAGCTTTTGCCGATTAAATAGAAATATTAAATAATTTTTACTGATATTTGGTAGATTAAGCATGATCATCGTTGCAGATATGTATAAGTTCGAGATTTGAAAATTTGAGAATTTAGGAATGTAAAAACTTCCGAATTTGGAAATCTTAAAATTTAGAAATTTAAAAAGTTGCAAATCTTGAAAATTAGAAATTCAGAAATTAAAAAATTTATGGATTTGGAAATATGAAAATTCGAAAATTAAAGAATTTTTGAAATGTAGAAATTTGAAAATTTAAGAATGTGAAAGTGTAGGAATATGAAATTGTAACGGATTTGGAAATGTGGAAATTTGAAAATTTAAGATTTGGAATATCTGGAAATTTGCAAATCATTTAGAACTTTTGAATGTTTAAGGAGTTTGGAGATTTGAATGTTTGAATATTAGTGAATGTTAGAAATCTTAGAGTTTGTCAGTTTTCAAATCTGAGATTTTAATGGTAGCCAAAAGTTGATACCGAGCATCCACTTAATCATGCTTGTAAGGTGAAGTGAGGTAAGTTTGTAAACGGGACAAATGTGTATACAGGCTATTTTTATTACAATATGAGCGAAATTTCTCCATTTAGTATGTTTGTTTCCTTGTTTTGTTTCACTATATCCCCATTTATATTTCAACTAAGAGTACTTGTTTGCAGTATAGAGTACTTGCATAATGCAGTAACAAGCATTTTATAGCAGATTTGTTAATAATTCTGCTCTTGCCCAATTACACATGAAATAAAGTTTCAAAGTATTTTAACTTCAAGTTACGCTCTTACCCCGTTTTCGGGGAAAGTGCAGAGTAGTTGACATTTTAAACAATTTCCTATCAAAATCAAAATGTACAAGGAAAATTAAGGTCCTAGTTAATATTAATTAAATAGTAGTAATTGTGCAAAGCGTTCGATATCGATAGCGTTAAGTATTTACATAGCAGACTGAAAATACTTGCGTTTAAACACCAACTTTACAAAAACCAGTCCGCACTTACCCCACTTCACCTTACCAAAATTTTTTAATTTGTACATAAAATAAATTTTGTACTTCAATAAAGATAATTACCAATAAATCGTCACCTTTCTTATATCCTACTTCCTCAATATACGAACCTAATATAATATACACACCATAACAGTACCATTAGTTAAATATCCAAAATGACCCTGCTAAAAATAATACATCTAAAAGCTGTAATTACATTACAAATTAGTTTTCATCAATCAACGCATAAAATTTCGTATAAAAGGATATTTAAGTTTCCAGAAAAACATGGTAAATAATTAAAACATGCATCCGAACATATTCTGTTTCAAAATAACTCGTTCCGTTTGAAATATTTATTTGATGTTACAAATTGAAAGTTACTATTTCTTTCTGTACGAATATGAAATGCTTAATTGAAATAAATACATATCTCTTTCACAGAGCGTACAAATATTATTTCCATAAAATCGTACCTACTGCGTTATTTATTTTCGAACATGGATAAATTTTTGTTGCCAGACAGCTGCAGCTGCCTTAGCATTCGTATTTATGTTTATATATCGCAGAGTGAGTGTGCGATTATAAAATCAATGGTAGTAGGCTGACGACTTCTCAGAAGTCTGTACGATAATCCTTTGTGGTTTATATTTTGAATTAGGAGTTATGTACAATCGAGCAGGGCCAAACTCGATAATAAAAAAAATGGTACTCCAATGATTAATGCAAGTTTAGAAATATGAAATATTTACTAGTGGGTCTGACTAGATGCCTCACCAGGTGTATTTCAAATTTCGAGTAGTTGCTGTAAACATATAGGTAGAACAAAAATGAGATGTAGAGATTTTAAAGTCGTTACAAACGATTAAACGTGTCTGAAATTATCGAAAACGATACCAAATACGATTATTTTTTATTTGGCGACAACTGACGTCAATGACGACTAAGTATTGTCGTCAACGATGAATTATAAAGCTTATAATGTTCCAGTCGATTTTATGTATCAAAAATTATCGGAAACGATACCAAAATACGGTTGTTTATCGATTCGACGACGGTTGACGTCGATGACGACAGGTTTCTGTCTTCGGATTGCCGCTAAAATCTGTATAGCAAGTTTAGGGTGACTTGTGAGTCTATCTTCAACATTTCGAGTCAAAAGACCTCGGATTGCAGTTTGTAGTGAAGTACAGACAAACAGAAAAAATGAATAAATGCAGTTCAGCAGTAACCAAGGAAAAAAGAAATTTTATTTGGAGTATTATTTTAATTATTTTACATTTTATG